AGACACTGAGTTGAAGAAAGCTAATACCTAGATTATATCTATGGTATCTAAGAAGTCGAATGGCGAAAGAAAAAAGTGCCTATCTTCATTAGAAAATGAGTTGGTGCATTCTCAATGAGCTTCACTCGAATGGTTGGTGTGTGAAAAGAAATAAATTTTTTTAAGAAGAAAGACATGCGTTGAGCGATGAAAACCCAGTGTTCTAGTATCAGTTTTTGATGCTGAATCCACAGAAAAAACTTTGAAAGCTATAATAAATTTTTTTGAAGCGCCATCGTCAAAATCCCAGTAGAAAACCTGTTTTTTAACCCTCGGTTTTCGCAGTACTTTTCGATTTCCGGTAGGAAGATCATTTCTTATCTATATAAATCATACATATTCGGATTCAGCGCATCAAACCACACCGGAATCCATTAAAAAATTGACAAAAAAAAAACTTTTGCTCGAATTTTGCATTGCTCCCACCTTACAAAGAAAGCAAAAAATAACTGTAATTAATGCTTTTTGACAAATTGATCTAAGCTGAGTTGTTTGAGTTTTTTTAATTATCGAGTTTGGTGAATGTGTTGACGTATGATTCTTGTGCCTCATCTTTTTGAACATCAAAAACTCCTGTCGCTGCAGAATCAACTGTTGATGAATCAAAGATAAATCCGGGCAAAGTTCGGATAGAAATAGAAGAGTTGTCACACCATATGTACCCAATGTCTAGAAATGCACGTTCGAAGTCGTAAGTTTGCTGTGTTCGAATCCATGCTGTTCGAATTGATCGCGTACGCAAAATTCGCTGTTGTTTAGCGGATAATTTTAGCTTTATACGCGACCCATATACTTCTATGAATTCATCGGCAGCGACTTCACAATGATGCTTGAATGCAGAAAAAGTAGACGTGTCCAGGATCTGCAAATAACAATACAAATGATTCTACAATATAATAATAAACTTTTAGAAGAATTCTAATTTGTAGATCCGAGTCTTATATGGATTTCAAGTCATTTTTCAGAAAGGGTCTTTTATTATGAGGGGGTGTTTTATTATAGAGGGGGGTTTACTGTGAAATAACAGTGTTTTTTGAGCGCATCACTTATTCAAAATGTTCGAAAGAGATTAGCACATCGTTCTCATCATGAATATTTCATATAGTAATTTTGAATATTACATCAAGACATGACTTTTTTTAGAAGCTATTCGTGCAGAGAAAAGTAGGTTTTTATTACGAAAGAGAGAAGGAAAAAAGAGAATAAAAAGCCATCTACTAATAGTAGATGCTGTTCATTTTATTTTAAATACAATTGTTGTTGTTGTTGTCAAGTGAAAGTTTGACTGCAATAGTTATGGATTGTATAAGAATTTCAATGTTGCTTTTGTTTGGTCTTTTCGAACAATCGCTCGTGCAAGATATAAAGTCCGTTACAATGACAACCATGAATGGATTGGAATTTCAGTGTGCTAACTCAAACTGTTTACCATTCGTTACTACTACTGCACCAAACATCCTCCAATGTCAAATCCACTGTTTACGCCAACCCCAATGTAAAGCAACCACTTTTCAAGCGACAACTTGCAAATGTCAATTGTTTAACAACACCGCAGATCAAAATAGCAACTTGCAAGCAAACATACAGGTCACAACAATGATAGTCATCTCCGGAACACGAATTCCATTAGGTTAGTATAGTTATGATAAACCATAGATAATACACATCATATTCGCATCGCACACAGATTAATTCGCCTCATGAAGGGCGTTGCAGACACGTTAAACCTTCAATAAAGTTTATGTAANCATTTCCACTCGGTCGGAACCGGCCGGTTCCTCATGTTTCTTTGCCGCCGGAATCCGGCCGGTTTTCTACAGGTTTTTACCGGCAAATTCCTAGTGGATCCAGACAGAAACGACGACAATTGAGAACGAGCTGGACCCGGTCACCATCAGGAACCAGCTGAATCCGGTGACCGTCAAAAACCACTTGAATCCGGTGACAATCGACAATCACCTGGATCCGGTGACCATCGGAAACCAGCTGAATCCGGCGATAATCGGGAATCAGCTGGATCCGGTAACCATCGGAAACCAGCTGAATCCGGTGATAATCGGAAATTACCTGGATTCGGTTGTGACAACACTACTGAAACAGACAGCACGGTTATATGAACAAACACGGTCCCGCCTATATGTATTGAATTTAACATTCGAATATGCCATTTTTATCCATTTCATATAATTATCCAACCTATGTTTATGAGTTACTGCGTACTCCTTTTCACGTATTAAATTCTTGATAATACACCACTCACAAGAGCACGTTATGCTTTGCATAATATCTACCTTAAACAGTACCTTGTCTTCAGCTGTAGGTTCAAAAAAACGGCGTTTGCCGTGTATCTGCAGAGGAACTCGAACCAGAACACGACCAAAGCGAACCATGTCCCAAATGCATCAGTAATGTCTTGACGTGCTATTCCAATCGAACCACCAGAACACGCTCCACCATTTCGTCCGATCAAAAAAGTACTTCCCAGCGGAATAGAACTTGTGCACATAGAAAGTGTTGGAAGTACTTCGAAGTACTTCCAAGCTAAATAAGACTTGTACGTATAGAAAGTGTTGGAAGTACTTCGAAGTACTTCCCAGTTAAATAAGACTTGTACGTATGGAAAGTGATGGAAGTACTTCGAAGTACTTCCAAGCTAAATAGAACTTGTACGTATAAAAAAGTGTCGGAAGTACTTCGAAGTACCGCCGACGTCCACTTTTCAATAGGCCGTCTGGGAAGACCCTATAAATATCCAGGCATTTTTCATTTTCTAGTTATTTCTAGTTTTTTTACTAGTCGTCACTTATGTCTGTTCATCTCGGCGGACGTCCAGTTTTGAATAGACCGTCCGAGAAGACCCCATAAATATCCATGCATTTTTCATTTTCTATTCATTTCTAGTTTTTTTACTAGTCGTCACTTATGTCTGTTCATCTCGGCGGACGTCCAGTTTTCAATAGACCGTCCGGGGAGACCCTATAAATATTCATGCATTTTTCATTTTCTATTCATTTCTAGTTTTT